CGGGGACCCCGCGCTGCGCGCCGAGCTGCACTCGAACCGCGGGGCTGCCCATTTCCACCTGGGTGAGACCTCCCCCCGCCCCTCCTGCGCGTCGTTCGCTCTTCCTTCCCCCCCCCTCGCCTTTCGGTGAGCGAGAAACGGCGCGTTACGGAGCCCCCCCGCGTGGGCGGTGTCGTTGCCTTTGGTTCTGGGTGGGTTTCACACGCGTGGGAGCGGTTCCGAGCAGCGCTGCCGGCTCCGGGGGTGACCCGCGTCCTGCCCTGCTTGCCCCGCAGGCAACTACCGCTCTGCGCTCAGCGATGCCATCCAGGCGAGGAAGCTGAAGCCCACCCACCTGAAAGCCATCGTGAGGGGTAAGGGGTGACGCGCGTGGGGCTGCGCGGAGGGCAGGGGACGTCCCTTCAAAGCATCTTTGCACGGGTTTGTGGGGCTGCTCTTCTCACAGGCCCTGGGACAGGCTGTTGTGGGATGTTGCCTTGTGTCCCTGCCCGTGGCTTTGTGTTAGATGGCAGTGGTTATCAGCCTTGAGTCACTGTGTGTGTTCGGTTCAGGGCAGCAGTCACTTCAGAAGGCTGGAGCAGTTACTGCCCCAACATCTGTTTTCTTGGTTTGTTATGGCTGTTTCTCCCCAAAACAGAGCTCTGCCTCTTGCTTGGGATTTTAGGCCAAAACACTGCCTTTTTGCATTTTGGTTTTCAGCTTCTGTATCCATTCATGCCTCCAAGGAGGCATGAAACCTGTTTCTGTAGAGCACAGCAGAACTCTTGTTGTTTCCCACACTGCTGGTTTTTGGGGTTCAGGTTTGGGTTTTCCTCCCCCAGCCTTTCTCACTCCATGGAGGTGGCCACTTTATTTTTCCTTATGGGGCAAAGACAGCTGTGTTAGTTATAACATTTTGCTTGCAGCAGACCCTTGTAGCATCATTCTGCTGATTTCTGTGACTAGGTGAGGAAATGATACAGCAACTCTGAAATCTTTTAGATTTTCTCCTCAGCTGACCTGCTGGAAGTCTGTGATGGAGCATGATCTTCATGACAGCAGCATGTGCTGCTGTCTCTGCCTCTTGAGAGCACCAGGGTGACACTGTCTTTATGACCACTGTTTTATGCAGTAGTTGTGTGCTGACTCCCAATACCAGAAACTTCCAATCTTGATCCTTCCAGGAGCTCTTTGTCACCTGGAGCTGAAGAACTTCTCTGAAGCAATAGCATGGTGTGAGGAGGGCTTGCAAATAGATTCCAAAGAGAAAAAGCTTTTGGAACTGAGAGCTAAAGCTGACAAGTTAAAGGTAAATACGAAGGCAGTCAGTTTTTGTCACCTGCTTTGTATCAAGCAGCACTTTGGGGTTCTTGGTTGGAGAGCACTTCCTACAAGTAACATTCCCAAACAGTGTGGTGGTTCTGCAGAGCGTGTGGTGAGGAGCTGTGTGGTGGTGAGAGCTGGAGGGAACCTTCTGGAGATCTCAGCTGGCTTCTCCACTCTCTGGCAGAGCAGAGCAGTGATGGGCATTGGCTTGCTGAGTGTGACCATGGTGCAACCTTCTCTTACATGTAGCGAGCTGAGGAGCGGGATGCCAGGAAGGCAAAGGCGATGGAGAGGAAGGAGCAGCGTCAGAAGGAAGTGTTGCTTGCAGCAATAAAGGTGGGTTGGTCAAGGGGTTGGTTTCGTGTGGTTTGTTTTGATGTTTGGGGTTTTTTTTAAGAGCTCTCTCATTTGTCTCTTAAGAGGCTGTTCTCATACTTGGGCTTGTGAGAGCAAGACCCAAAAAACTGAGTTAAAACCATGATTCTGCTACAACTCTGTGTGTCTCTAGCCCCAGATCCCAGGTTTCCTTATTTCAGGTTAAAACTAAGACAAAATACAAGCCCAGCGTTGGGAGATGGGACTGAGCATCCTGCTGCTGGTCTGTAGCATCATACTGGCCCAATGAACATTGTTTTCTTTGCTGCTAGTGGGCATTACTGCAGTGGGAGGATAGGAGATAACCATCCAGCAGGGTGGAGGAGAGGATCAGTCCTGGATCCTTCCTTCTGGGAAGACCAGTGACCTGAGTGTAATGCTGTGGGAAGTTTTTTGATGGCATAATTAGGAGCTGACCCATTAGTAAGAATGACACAACTTGTCCTTTTACCAGCTGCTCGTTTCTTGCTCTCACTCTCCTCATCACACCTGTTTGTTTTTTTGGTTTGCTTGCTTTGTTTTTCCTTCAGGAAAGAAATATCAAGCTGGTTCTTGAGCCTTCGAATGAAGAAGAGGAGATATCAGATGGCCTGGCTGAGATATCCTTAGATGGGTTCCACTCTGACAGTGCCATGGGGGCAAAGGTGCACTTAGATGCTGATGGCAATCTGAACTGGCCTGTCCTCTTCCTGTACCCTGAGCACGAGCAGACAGACTTCATTGCAGCTTTCCATGAGAATTCCCGGTAAATGGCCTGTTCTTGCACAAAGGAGAGGTTGGAGCAGATGGGAACAGGCTGCCAGTGAAACCCTGCCCTGCTGCAGTAGCTCCAGCTTGCTGATCTCACAGCTGACCCAGCTCTTGAGCAGGAGGCTGCACCTCCTGAGGTCCTTTCCAACCTCAACAATTCTGTGGTTTACAAATGCTGCTCTAAAATACGAGGCCCGGAGTCGTGGTGGTGTCTGCATTTCTGGCACAGGGGAACATTTATAGCCAGTGTGACTGAGGGGGCTTGCAGTGCAAGCCCAGAGCAGTGCCCAGTCATGCCAGTGGTCCACCCACATGCGTGGATTTTAGAGGCTGATGTTTTGAAGCCCTCCAAAAAAAAGTCTTGAAAAGTCTTGAAAACAGGATTAAACATCAAATTATAAAAAAACTTCCTAAGCGACCTCCTGTAACCACCAGTGACAATATAGTTTTCCAGGCTTTACATGCCTGAACTGCTGATGAGCTTTCAGGCTGTAACCAAGTGACTGGCAAGGTGGGAATTTCACTTTTCTTGACATTAAAGTCAGTTTCTGATTTCACAGTGTTAAACAAACATGGAATTTGTAACTTTTTTTTTTTTTTTGTGGGGATCTATTTGTCCCTCAGACCTATCGATAAGTTTGGCGCTTAAAATTACAGTGCAAGCACATTAGTAAAGCTGTGGTTCTTACATGGTAACATTCACTATGCCTTTTCATGACCAAAGGAAGTGAAAATGGGTCTTAAAACAAATTTTTGGCCATCAGTACTTCCTGAAGGACCAACATAAAGAAGCCTCTGACACACAAACATATTCTGAGCACCCTGATAGGACGAAGTGTGGTGCTGGTGAGGCCATGTAGAGGGAAAACCAATGTTAGACAAAATGCAGGGTGTTTATTGTGACATCTTTTTCATCGGGAAAATGAAATGTTAAAAATAAGCTGCTGCTGCAGTGCTGAAGATTGAAACCAATGAGTTACAGCAGGGCCTTGGTCTTACTGGGAGAGCAGTGAGTTTGAAGGGAAGGAACTATTGGTGATCAAAAGTTACTTTCAAGTCTGTTTTCTAATTTACTGATGTATTTTTACCATTGTTCTAAGGCAACTGTACAAATAATTGAAGCTGAACACTTCATCTGATCTAACCACGTGTATTATGGTTTTTAGGTTCATTGATCATTTAATGGTGATGTTTGCTGAGTTACCTCCATGGGATTTAGAAAGAAAATACCTTCCCAGCAATCTCGAGGTGAGAAGTTTGGCTTTCCTGCTATTTCAGGGTGGTTGTGTTGTAGGTTGTTTTGTTTCTTTGTAGTTGTTTTATGGAGTGAAATTAAAAGGCTCTGAGTGTAGGAAAGCAATGTCATTGTTACCCATTTACCATACAGGATGAGAAATAAGGGTCTGGAGAGCTGCATTCATTACATTCATACAGACATAAGTATTTTCCAGATGTGCCGACATGGACATAGAATTCACTAAGGAAAATTAAACTTCTCTTGTCTCCCACTTATGTTGTATTTGATAGAAGGTATTTATAGATGCTGCTTAGATTCCCATCTTCGTAATGATAGTGAAGATGTAGACCATCTAGCTGGTAGGCTGCTTGCTGTTGTTAACTTCATTGTTGTGAAGTTGCTCAATAGAGATGAGAAAATATTTTTTTTAAAAAAGAAGAAGGTTCTTTTCAGATCTTACTGGTGGTGCTTAAACACTTGATCCTATGGGTACAGTCAGTATATGTATATTAAGACCTTAGCAAAGGTGGGATGTGAGTTGGTTGTAGCTGCAGCAGGTTTGGAGAATGTTTCAGAAATGGTACATACATGGGTACATATGTTTTATTTTTCATTTTCCACTTCAGTCTCATATGCACCAGGCAACAGCACAGCCCTTACTGCAGACAGGTCCAGAAGGACAGTGGCTGTGTATTTTGCCAGATGAAAAAGTTGGGCTGTAGCTGTGTGTGCATGTGCAGTCTGAGGAACAGTTCCTGGATTTGAATCTCTTCAATCTACTCTTACTTTGTTCAAATATCTTTAAGCCTACTCAGTTTAACTCGTATTAGTGCTGCATTTCACCTGTTAAAAAGCAGCCCTGAGATTTGGAATGCTTCTCTGTAAGGCACAGGAACAGCCACTGTATTTTTGCCTTCTGCTAACTGGTTTATACAGGGAAGAGTTGGGATTTACACCAAACAGTTCCTATGATATTGGAATTAGCATCCAACATGGTTTGTTCAAGGTACAGAAGTTTGATAAACCTCTGATAGGTATTTGGTGTGCTGTTACTGGGCTTTCAACAGCTTAACAGTTTGTCTATCTTAAGTGTTTTGTAACCCTCCTGATTTTTTTCAGCTCTATTTTGAAGATGAAGAAAGAGCAGAAATGTACGAGCTGAACCCAGAGCACACGCTGCTTCAAGCACTGCAACACCCAAGGTGAGGCTGCACCTGCTTGTGTCCAGAGAGAGCACTAAGGCAAAAAGCACAAGTTTTGGGCTTTGAAGTGCAGTTTGTTCTCTGATTTCGCTCTAGGATTTGATCAGTCCTAACTCTTGAAGGTGCAAAGCAGTAGATTTTGTGCCTGGCTTTAGCAACTTACATATTTTTCCCCCCTCAAAAGAATGAACAGCTCTTTCCAGGACTGGATGGAGATGGGGAGTTGGGCTACATAGAAGCAGCAGCACAAAAGGGCTGTTTCAGATCCCATCTACACAGTGCTATGTACAAATAAAATTAAATTTAAAAAAAAGCAGCAGCACAGAAAGAGAACATGTTGGAAGTTAACAATGTGCTCACTGTTAATTAGGCTGCCAGAGCCACCGCCGCACAGTGGGCAGCAGTTTCACTCTTGAGACTGGCCTCAAAGTGCTGTGCAGCTATTGAGAGAGAAGAATTTGCTGTTTGTGAAGCCAAAAAGTTGCTGTACAGCCTGCTCTGTTAACTTGCACCATCTCGTAGCTGGCTGGAGGGAGCTGCACAGCTCGGGTGGCTCGGGCTGTCCCGGTGGGCTGTGCTCAGCTGTAGCTCTGTAGGACTCAGCAGCCTGCATAAACCCTCGGATTTCAGGCTCTAAGGACACTTTGGGAAAGAAAGCTCCTTCCAGAGGGACAACAATCGCTGTTTCAATTAGAAGGAGCTGTTGGGAGAAGAGCTAGTTCATAAACATTCCTCCTCAAGGTGTGTGTAGCTAGGAAAGGCTGTGCAGATCAGCGGGAAGCTTGTCATTGGCCTGGGGGAGGTCACTTTGCATGACACTTGGCCAGCTGCAAGGAAGCCAAAAGACTCCTTTTAATCTTCGCAGGTACTTTGTAAAGGCTGGGACTCCCACCGTTTTGGCATTTGTGAAGCTTTCTCCTTTCACTAAGAAATACTTCTCGGGCAGGAAGGTGCATCGACTCTGAGGAGC